TCCCTTCCGACCCTTAATCTATGAATCTATGAATCTAAGCAGAACACTACTTAAAAAAATTCAAGGTTGTGTAAGTTAAGCACTGAAAAAAGAAACATGCCAGAGTCACCTGTGCATCCTTAATTCAACCCTATGTATGTAATTAAAAACCCTTTTATAATACAAGATGGCATATTCCTTTTTTCCATGATCTCCCTGCCTCATTCAGGACCCATAATGGACCTGCCCTTGGGTTGTACATTCAAGGGCTGGGTTATCCTAGCACTACCTGCTCTCCCTCCCCCTTGTCTTTTGTATCCTAATTTCTCTCTCCTTATACTCTACTTTTTGCATGTCCTTTCACAGCATCTGATGAAGTGAGCTTCAGTCACTTTTGTGAGCTTTTGTGATCTTTAGCCCACAAAAGCTTATGGGCTATATGTCTTATTTAGTCTTATTTATGTCTTACTTATGTCTTATTTAGTTAGTCTATAAAGGTGCATATCTACCCTGCCTTCTGACTGATTTCAGACTAACATCCTGTTATCTGTAGGACCCTGTGCATTTCAGAAGTTGGAAGCTGCTTGAAGCAGATTGGGCAGGAAGAAATAGTACTGTGTCATAATTAAGACAGCTACTAACCCCTAGTGTAGGTGATTTTGCTTGTACAGCTTATTATACTGTGGGAGAGGGTAATGACTCATGCCAACATAGTACTGTTTTGCTCATATAAGTTGCATCTATATTAGAAGCACTTTGCTACCAAAAGTCAACGTAAGCTGTGCTTTGAAAATTGTGTTTTATGCTAAATATTGGGGAAAAAGCAGGTTTTAGACATCCCAGATTGGCCTTCAAAATTAGCAGCCCCCTCTGATTTTAACCTCTCAGTCCCTCAGTAATGTACCTGTAAACTGTAAAGGATACTCCTTCATCTCACAGGGGATGCTATACAGTAGTGCTTGGGAAGCCTGGAAATACTGTAGTGATGAGTTCTGCAGAAAAGCTTGCATCTCTTGAGTTGGTAGCTTATCAGCTTTTGTCCTACTTCATACAGCACTATATTAGGACACCAATTGGTCTTGTTTTCATCTTGTTCTGCAATATCAGTTTACAACACTACCTTTAAGTCCAGTTACAAGAAGGCGTAAAACATATTTCCCCAAATTACCAACACTATAAGTATGAAATTAAGTTATTCACTTGACCTGCATTTGCAGCCGAACAGATTTATGGGATATTAACCCCTGAATGGTTTGATAAATATGTGCAAGAGGCAAGGATTTCTAAGGGTGATGGCTTTTATTGGACCAACTATGTAATTGGGATAAAGTTAGACAAGCTGTCAAATGTAAAACATTCTTTGTCAGGTCTCTGATCACAGGAATCCAGAAACAGCATAGATAAATATACAAATTTGAGCTATAATAACTAAACAGGTTTAGTTCACACATTTTGGTATTTCAGTACAAGTCTGTGTGGCAACTCTTGTTTTGGAACAAAGGTGGCCTATTTCAGAAGTACCTTTTTTTAAACCAGTTTGTTAAATTAAATTAAAACACTTATGTTGCAAAGGGTATCTACCCAGCCATTTCCACCAAAATAAAACATGGTGTGAATTTAACGCAATTTAATTAATCTGGTGCAAATTCACGTACAAATAAAACCCAAACACAGTCCTGTACCATCAAGGATCTTTCTGTGAAGAAGTCTGAACAGTTAGTTGCCACTTTACAAAAGCAGTTCAACCTTATACTTGTCAGCACAAACCCTATTGTATCTATTCTTCTTCAAATCAGGGGGACAAAGACCAAACATGCAGTCAGGTTACACCCAGAGTGTAGGTGACAAACTCAAGTGAGGGCTAAGAGCAAATCAAGAAATTGACCATTAAGAAGTCACTGGCACCACTGCTGATCCGAAGAAGAGACTGCTTCTTTTGTAATTTTACAGTAAAATTCTCCCCTCTCAAACTTAACACAAAAATGTATTATGTGTGGAAGGGGTAGTGTTAAGATTTCATCAGCAGAATCTGAGATAGCAATTTTGCTCATCATGAGGGTTACGCTGATTACCTCAAGCAAGTGCTGGCAAAATGCATGTTATGTTGTGTGTATATGTGTAGCAGAAAATCTACTGTAGTAATGTTTCAGAGTTTAAAAAAACTGAGACTGTATATTTAATCACTCTACCTGCAAATCCAATTGCCTTAGTTATCATGAATGCAGTTATATAGAACTCATAGGAAGCTATTAAAACCTCTTGAATAGCTTTGCTACATATTAAAAAAAAAAAATCACTTTTCAGATTTAGTATCTCGGGCTCTCCCAGGCTTAGAGTTGACTGCTGTATTCCGACGGGGAGCAGAAAACTGCTCTTCCCAACTGCATACAAACTCTTGTTTCTAGAGCTGCAGGAGCTTCAAATATCAAGTTTTAAAGCAGTCATCATTTTAGGTATAATAAAAACACTTACTTGTGCAAAACTCAATCTTGCCTATTGCTGAGCAGACATAATTTGGAATAAATGCACTACATTTGGGGAGAGGTATCCAGAAGTATTTTTACGAACTGGAAAGCAGCCATCTGTTCATGAATAATAGCAGCTTGCCCCGAAGACAAGGTTTCTTTTATGGCTGGGGTAGTTTGGCATGATGTCTTTTGTGTGTAGGTTAGTGAATTATGGCTCACAAATTCACCCCATGTTCATTCTGCCTCTCCTGTACTGGTCATTGATTTCCTGTTTCATCTGTTGGTGGGAAAACCATAAAACAATTGCTTTGGTTTGTAGTACATCCCTCTGCATTTCCTTACAGGCTGGAAAGTCTCTTTGTTCTTCTCCCGCAATTGCATCATGATGTTATCCATTAGCTTACTGAAAATCTTGCCCCAGAACTCTGGGGCCATCAGTAAATATTTCACCCATATGTCTGCCTTCCAAGTTTGAAGTCACATCAGAATTTGTAATCCAAGCTGAAAAATAAAATGAAACACACCCATAGTTGTCAGCTATGAACAGTGTTCTTTAACAAAGGGCCTCTGAAACAGATTCCATCTATGCCAGGGCTGCCCATGTGAACTGATTTGCAAAAACTCTTAAGGGCTGGAGAAGTGCCACTGAGCTCCCTTTTCAGTGAAGAATTCCCTGATTTCAACTGGACCCTGGAGGAGAAAACTGTCTAATATGGGAATCACCTTATTTCACTACAGAGGAAGTAGCCAAAGCTGCTGCAAAACAGGTAATCAGGCTAGATTTGAGTTGCTTTACAACACAATGAAACCATGCTTCTTGCCACCTTAAGCTCTTTGGTTTCCATGGAAAAATCCCCATTTTGACTTGGTCACATTCTTCAGAAAGTAGAGGGGAGTTTGACTAAGACTAAAAGTACCATCTCTCACAATGGCATGGAGCAATTACCTCATTTTGCACTTTCCCGTTTTGGGCTCCTGCCTGTGATGAAGAATTTATCCTTTCCACAAAGAACAATTAAGATTTTGATTGCTTATCACAGATATTTGGCTCTTTGTCTTTTTATGAGCTAGGGTACCCAGGATGTTTAGGTACACAAGTAGTCCAAACAGCTTAAAGAAGGTATTCTCCTTTTGTAGCTTTCTTTCTAATTTCCGCTGTACCCCCTTGCCTTCCTGGAGTGCTCCTCAGAAGATGAAGAGACATGGATTTAAAGCCCTTAACTGAAGAGGCAGGCCACCAAATCCATCACCAAGTTTTGCATATTCTACAGTGGGTCCTAGCTGTCTCTCAACAATCCAGTTGTAGAAACCCAATAGTCAATGAATGGCAGGGTAGAGTGGCTCCACTTTCTGAAGCAGAGGAGTGTGCAGCCTTTTTCTCCAGAAAGAAAAAATATAAAATAATAAGGTATTTGCTCTCAAATACCTCCTAGGTATCTGTGCTAAACAAATGTTAAAAAATAGAAGAATCAAATGCTGAGTTGCTACTACCAGCTTATTACCTGCGAAGACCTAATTCCTCAGTTATCAACAGAGCCTTTCAAGGAAAGAGGCAGCAGCACCTGTATTTGTGAATGCACACTTTTATTAAAAAGATAAAAATCAGAACTTGTGCATCTACTTTAATCATTGTGAAGAAACATTCAAACAAAGTTCTGGTTCTGCCTTTTACAAAAAGTAAATTCTATTCAATCAGCCAGTAACTGCCTAGATTTCCAATTTAGGATGAAATGCAGGTCTCCTCTCCTTGGTATATTTCAATACTGTATGATCTTTAAAATGACACTTCAAAACGTTATTCTGATTACACAAAGCTTGTCTGAAAGAAATACAACGGTAGTCACTTTCCAAAACGTAAGCAAGCTTTATACCGCACAAAATTGAAAACGGAAACTTCATTTAAGAAGTTTTGAAATCTTTAAAGACACGTTAGGAAAACTCTAATATAAGTAGCAACTAATCTGAAAAAAATTGAAGTTAGGATGTTAAAAAGTAACTTGATTTCCTTCATTTAATATTGTAAGTGGCGTGTGCCCTATTTCTAGAGTACGTGAGCATAATGTTCTCTATCTCTTCAGGAGAGGAAGGATGGTCTTGTGGTTCAGGCATAAGACTAGGAGTCAGGAGATCTACGTTCTATTCCTGGATCTCCCACAGCCTTGATGCACGACTTTGCTCAAAGTCACCCATCACCTCTTTGTACTGAAATCCCTAAGTTAGGGATAATATTACCTCAGAGCAAAAATATGACACTAAATTAATATTTGGGCAGTGTGGTGAGAGCATCAAAGATGTTATAAATGCACATGCTATTACAATGACATATTATTTAGTTAGATCCCTTTATACAATTGTACCGAGAGTAAAACTGTCTAGTGGTTTAAGTACAAAACTAGAAAAGCTGCCCACGGCCCTCCAAGGACTCAGGATTCCTGAACATTCACTTTAAAAATTTGGTGTCTTAGGTTTTAGACATCAGGGACCACTCTTGCTGTTATTGTTAATCGGCTGTTTTTATATAAACAAAGACAGAAAACATTCTAGTAAAATTCAATTGTAGAACAGATGAGACTGAAGAGATGAACAGGAAAAGGGAGGTAGGATGAATAGCAAAAAAGGCAAGGTAGAGTTGCACCCCATAACCCAACTCAGTGGTTTTCAACCTGTGGTCCATGGACCCCCTGGGGGGTCTGTAGACTATGTCTGAGGGGTCTGCAAAAGATGACTACAATCAATCACAAGTTTGTGAATACCCACACTTACAATACAAAAGGGTCTGCACCTCCATTTGAAATTTTGTAGGGGTCTGCAAATGAAAAAAAAAAGGTTGAAAACCATTGAATCATAGATGTACTGCATTATTATTTAGTTTGGCATTAAGATGCAACTCTACCCTGCTTTCTGCCAAACTGCAGACTAACACGGCCAATGACCTCTCTCTCTCCAAAGATTAAAACATCCATCCAATAAGCTACAGTAAATGTTCTGTATTTACTAAACAGTGTGTTTGCTTCAGTCCTGCGAACTATTTTAACTCAATCAAACATTTCAGATTCTAACAGTGAGCCAATCCTCTCTTTTGCAGCATGCCTTAGTATCAGCAAAAAAGCAGGGCTTTTTTTTTTTTTAAATCTCCCTAGCTATATATAGAGTTGATTATGATATGTTAGCCCACCAGTCCCGCTGTTGCTGTCTGCAAGCTTTAGCTCTTCAGAGTAATCCAGTGCAGCAGCAGGGCTTTTGAGGCATTACAAGGGGCGGGGGAGGGGGAGTGACCTTAGAATACCTTTGAGACGCATTGAGCAAGTTTTATATAAACCAGGCACGCTGTCCTGAGGTGACACTGACAGCGAAGCAAAGGAGCAGGCTCCTAACAACTAGTTAGTCCAAAGCAAGAGGACCCTTTAGCCCACAGTATAATTTAGATAAATGAAATTTGGGACTGCAGCTGCCTAACGTAAGCCAGACACATTCATCCTGCGTCTCCCACTGCACCTCCTTGCTTACCACTGCCCCACTGCTTTTTGCAGCTTCCCAATAAAGTCCCATTTTTACCTCCACCCCCTCTCCCAAGAGCACATGCCTCGCCTGGCAGTGGAGGGTGTGGGTGGCGCCTGCCTCTGCACCTCCTACCAGCCTCCCTTCCAGATGCCTTGCATCAGTGTCCTCCCACCTAAAGTTGCTCACCCCTTCCCTGCCCCAGTGACTGCCAATGCCAACTGCTCATCCCTCTTTCTAGCCCCGGCAGCTAACAAGCAGGCACAGCCACACCTCTGGCAACTGCCCTCCTGGCAGACTGCAGCCCTAGCTCCACTCCTAATCTGGAAACTGCACTGCCTACCCCCTGCAGTACACTGGTGCCCCCCTCATACACTGCCCCCCCATACAGCCCCCGTGCAGTGTCCCCCCCCCCCCAGTACAGATGCCCCCTTTCCCTACAACCCCCCCTACACTGCCAACATCCCCCCAATTCACTGGTGCCCCCAATACACTGCATACCTCTCCCCAGTGCACTGGTGCCCCCATACAACCAATGCACTGCATGCCTCCCCTCAGTGCACTGGTACCCCCCAATACACTGCATACCTCTCCCCAGCACACTGGTGCTCCCAATACACTGCATACCTCTCCCCAGCACACTGGTGCTCCCAATACACTGCAAACTTCTCCCCAGCACACTGGTGCCCCCATACAACCCCTGATGCGATGCATACCTCTCCCCAGTGCACTGGTGCCCCCAGTACACTGCATACCTCCCCCCAGTTCACTGGTGCCCCTATACAACCCCCGATGCACTGCATGCCTCTCCCCAGTGCACTGGTGCCCCCACATACACTGCATACCTCTCCCCAGCGCACTGGTGCCCCCATACAACCCCTGATGCGATGCATACCTCCCCCCAGTGCACCGGTACCCCTCCCCCGCGCGAGCCCCCCCCCAAAGAGCACTGAGACCGAGGGGGAGGGGCGCAAGGGAGATCCCACGCGGACAACCCCCAGCTGCAACCAATCCAAGAGTCGCGTGGCTCCCGGAGGGGGCGGGACGGCGCTCTGGCGTTCGGTGGGAAGCGGAGGGGCGGGG